AGGTGGGAGGAGGTGGCGAGACAGCCACTCTTCGGGAACATACACGTTACTGATCGGTACTAGAGGGTATATCACAGTTCGAACCCCCCGTGGAACAATTGGATCAAAAAAAGGGTGATAAGAATCAGGGACATATGAGACGTGGAGGAAAATAATTGGCAAACAGAACAAAAGTTGAAACCTCTTCTAAAACATTGCCATCACGCGGGGAAGAACTTGGAGGAATTGATCTTTTCCGTACCCTTGGATCGGGTGTGCATCCTGTGCAAAGGACCGTGTCTACAAGAAGGAGACTGGGTGACTATCCCGGGTGATCCTGAAAGCGTGGGGAATGTGGTGGTGGTATACACACAGGAAGCACTGGTGAATCTCTTTCATCGAGAAGATGACAATAAGTTAAAGAAGTATCATCCTGATGTGTTGAGATGGTGGAAAAAGACAGATTTGCACCACATCCGAGTACTTTATTCATAGGAGGATTGGTTCACTTTCCTTCCTGAAACCCCGCTTGCTAAACTCTCTTTAGATCCGGAGGAATGACAATGGAATCCGACAAGTAAAACGGGGGTAAACAAAACTTTATTCAACTTTTCAGTGGAATCTGCCTACCGCCTCTTGAGACCAAGAATAAATGTGAAAGACATTGTGAGAGAGCGATGGCTAACCCATCTGAATGTGGGAAGGGACGCAGTTCGACCCATCTGATGGTTTAAGGCCACGAGATCCAAACCAGCGCAACTGGCCTCGTTGCAGTGACAGATAAAGCACCGTTGCCTCCCTAAAAACAATTGGCTAATAGATCGAAGCTACCTAGAACAAAAAGGATTAGTGCTGCCATGGTGTCACTCCTGTTCGGCCTCCTTTCCTCACAGTAAGATCGCTGAAACCATACACGACATCTTTCTGCAGTGCCCGGGGGCGATTTTGACATGGCGCTGGTGGGACAGGATCCGGAGACAATTCGGCACTACATCCACATGGCCATGGGACTGGAGAGCCCTCTTATGTGAAACCTGGTCTTCTCCCACGGACTGTCCCTTTGGAAATAACATGTTCAGGACGGGGAGGAGAGTTGTCATTTGGGCCCTTTGGCAGAAAAGGTGCATACACACCATTGAAGGAGTCAGAATAGAGAGGGAAGAGGTCACCAAAATGGTTAAGCAATATATTCAGGAAGAAATCATGGCACAGTGGCAAAGTGTGAAAGCAAAACTGGATCTGTTTCAAATGAAATAAGACGTAATGCAAGCCATCAAACAATTTTTCAGGGAATGGCTGGGGAGGGATGGAAGGATAACCCACGTTCGTTGGGAGGGACGACAATCTCCGGAAGGGGGTGACGATGTGCTCAGAAGTGACTAAAGTGACTATGGTATCTGCTTAAATGATTGGACCAAGGTAGATGTGGCAGTTCCTCTGCGTCCTCCTTCGGATTTCCCTCATCCCTTTCCACCCCATGGCCTCTCCATCGTGGATCTACAGTGGTACGGAGAGAATGTAGGCTTTACCTGCTCAGTCAATCCCTTGGGTTCAGGGTAATCAATGCTGGCAGGATGTTAGTGAGTTCAACTGTTCAGGGATCTTTAATAGGTAGTCCAGCAGGAGAGTAAGTACAGCTCCGGGGTATGTCATGATAGCAGATCTGCAGGAGAGCATGTCTATCTCTGTATACCAAGAATGATGACAATGTTCAGGGACACTGAACCCGGTTTCCAGCAGGTGCTGCTCCTGCTGGAACCTTCCAAAGTTCCAATAACAACATGAGATTGAAAGTAGAACCTGCCTCTTCAGCCCTTCTGAGCCGCCGGATAAAAAGAGTCAGCCTAGCAGTTCTACCCTATAAACCAGGCAGAAGTGTAATTCTGGAAATTTGATCATACATTTCCCTTTACCCAAAACACCCCTTATCATCTCGTTCTAGCTCAAATGGGAGAAACCACCTTATAAACCAGGCAGAAGTGTAATTCTGGAAATTTGATCATACATTCCCCTTTATCCAAAATACCCCTTATCATCTCATTCTAGCTCAAATGGGAGAAACCATTAAATGCTTTAACCACCAGAGCTCAGAGTGAACCCAACTTCACGCCACATTTGAACCAAACCATTGCAAATCCACCATCACAAGTTCCGAAAGAGGAAAGAGGTCACATAACAAATCAGGCGATCTAAAAAAAACTCCTGGTTACAGATCAAACCAACAGTGGAAGAAGATATCATGGTCTCTTTTGAAACTTCCATCTCCTTCCCCCCCTGGCCACTTCACTTATCCCAGCTTCCCCTCTGAATGTTCCCCCAGCCAAGTTGGTTGAAATTTATTAAGTATATTTTTAATATCTTACTTTTGAGTCATTGTTTGAATAGTAGTTTTAGTTTTAGACCACTGGGCGCTAATTTCCGTATGAACGAATTGAATGACTATTTCGTGTGATTTCTTGAACATCTATTTTAACTTCTTTCCAGGAAAGAACACATCTCCTATACCACAATGCTCATAGTACCGCCTTTCTCCCCATATTGAAAATATTACTTTGAAAATCTGTCAGGTCTACAAGTATTGGGTTCTAATGTCCTAGAAGCAGTGCTCTCCAATCCCAGGGTCATTCCAAACCTGTGAGTTTGGACCATATGTAGTCCCATCTTCTCCGAAGTAGCACAACTTTATGTTTTTTAATGTGGTCCGATGGACCACGGATCAGATATTAAACTGATCAGAACAGATACTACACTTGATCTTAGCCAAAAGGCCGAGAAAGGTATTAGTAGCACAACTTTAGGACATTGCAGAAAAATATATTCAATGGTTTCCCTGATCTTCCTACTGGGAAAGGCCGAGGCACATGCCGGACACCAGGGTAAGGCCAGACGCCTTTGTTCAAGAGACGAATGATCAATGCGCCAATCATAAGTTGGCAGACACGTATGAACAATTTGTCACTGTAATGAAGCAAACTTCGCTGGTCTTTCCTTCAGGTTCTCGAACCATTTGACTGAAGAGAGCAGTTCTGAATGAATATTAAGTTGCCTATACCATCGCTCCTTTACTATAGAAGTGACGTCAAGTTTTCGACGAAGTAGACGGCACGAGGCCTTGACTGTTAGGGAAAGCAGACTTTGAGGTTTACATCGTTTATTCTCTCTCCAAGACCATTCTATTGGGTCTACTATTGGAAGTTCAGGAATTGGTAATTGAGGGAAGTAAGCCCTCCATCCGTTGATACTTGAACAGTATAACACCCTGATCCTGTACATTACATAATTAGGAAAAAATGCCACTAAATTTTGATCTGCTTGAGGGATCGAGTGGTCTTTACTAATTCTGCACAGATTAAGTAGGGCGCCGTCATGAACTATGTCCAACACTTGCCCTACAACAGTAGACCCATCAGGTTGAATGCCTCCCACCCAATTTGCCTTTCTGAATTTCGGACCCTTTTAGGTTCCAATTCCAAGACTAAAGGAATGAAGGCTATACTTTTGTCCAAATTCTCTATTAGATTCCTAGCATACTTGATCTCTTTCCTCAACAGGTCCACTGTTTTCTATTTCTTGTTTGTGAAATCCCAGAGATCCTTGATTCTCATGATGTGTGATTTCCCCCATGTTGTCTAAGGAGGTTGTGAGCTGATATAGACCCTTCCATTGGAGTCTGAAATCCATCTGTTACCAAAGATAGGTTGTCTGAGGATTTCCTTGTATCTTGATGGTAGGGATCTATTGGGAAGTGGGAGTTTACGCCATGTTTCAAGTATTTCTGACCAAAAAATATCTAGGACTAGGTCTTTAACGGTTCACTGGGAAGCTCTGTTTAAAGATAAATATATGCGTCAAACAGAGCTGCCTGGTAAACCGTAGGGGCAGAGAGGGAGGGAGAAGAGGACAACAAACGAGGGGCTGTGATAAACTGTTTCGTCGGAGTTTCACTGACTCATCAGGAGGCTGAACCCTCCACAGTCTGCAGAATCCCGTAACCGATTACACTGTAAGTGATAATCCACCTTAACCCCGGTTGCGGTTAAGCATGAACGACTGCCCGACAACTGATACCCTGAGCTGGGCACCAACAACTGCCCTCAAGGTACCTGTGACGAACATCAAAGCAGACTATCACTCACCCACACCAGATGGAAAAATCTACAGACTGTCGGTTCACACCCCAGCTAAACACCCATGAAACAAAGAAAGGTCTGTCACAGCCAAAAAATACACTCCAGACACGCCGCTGGCACTAGAGGCACAACAAATAATCTGTTTGACGATATATATTTATTATTTATATATTTCGACGACATATGTATTGTGTTTGACGATATTGACGCTAGGTATATCTTATTTGAAGTTATTTGAACTTAATTTCAGAATTTTCGGTGATATTTTCGTTATTTGAACTTATTTCCTGTATATATTACATCACATTCTGAAGCCTTTCAACTCAAATTTAATCGAGTGCTGACCTTGCTTGCTTTGCTTTTCTTTCATTCTTCCAATTTCCTTCCAAAAAAGTGGGGATGCAAACTAGAAAATAACCCAGCCCATGTGGCTGGATGGTAAACCCATGAATTGTTGAAATTGTTGATAAACACATCTGAGTTCAAATCCTCATGGACTCAGATGAATAAAATAACTCTGAATTACGGTCAATTACCTGGTGTCGGTCAGTTCAATGATTATACCCTAAGGCCATCACCCTTTCCGGGGCGAAGGAGGGAATTTACAGCCAAACATGACATTACACTAAAAAATATCAAACCACAGGAAGTTAATCAAGCGTCAGATGACACAATATTTTAAAAATACTAAGATGGAAAACTTTGGATAACCTCAAATCCTGTACATGCAATGTGGTCAACCTGGGGACAGTAGACAAGGAGGAAGGTACATCAAGGTGGAGACAGATGAACTGAAAGCCTGTAGAGAGAGGAGAGGGAAGACATCAGTGCACAACAGCTGCTGCCGACCAGTAAAGGTGGACCTGCCACGCCAAAGTGCATAGCTCCCCTGCTTTTGACTTTGACATTTAGTTGAATGAAATGAGCGATGGATGTTAGGGTTGTTTGCGGGTACACGTAACGAACCCCATGCTGTATCTGCGCTCGCCGACTTGCAGAACACCATCTCGAACCTGAGGCAATTCTCGCCATGTGACATGGGGCAGGTTCGGGTCGTGATCGGACGTGTCATACTGCGAATCAGTGGAATCCGCACGAGGACGGTCTTGTAACTTTAGCCTACGAATCGCCGGCGGCAGACTCATTGAGTGCCGGAGACTTTTCTTCAGTGTTTTTTTGTTGTCTTGGATCCCGTCCCCGTCTTGGTCGTCTTCCTGCTGTGAGGGAGAATCCCCGTGCTGAGCAATTGCTTCTTCAGTGACCGATTTGCGAGATGCAGATGGCGTTTTGTGTACGCGTCGCATCAAGGAGGAACGACTATGTTCCGCAGTGTCTTCAGGGGACAGCTCCTTGTGGTGTACATCGCCCTCTGTACAAGACAGCTCTTTCCTGTTTTGTGCTGCATCGGTGCGGTCATCTGCGGACGCCCCGCTTCTCCTTCGCTGTCTCCCCACTTCTTTGGCCTTTCCTTCGCCCTTCAAGTGACCAGACGCGCTGCCGTGGTCTACTAGACCTACAAACTTGCCGTTCCTCCATCCATGGTCCACTTCCTGCAAAACCTGGAACAAACTCGGGCGAAAGAGTCGGAGGAAGGTGAAAAATAAGTAGTCAATCAGGCAGGCAAGTACAGGCACCAAGATGAGGGCTAGCCAGACGGAGGTGTTTTCGAGGGCTTGAGAATAATAACCAGAGAGCTCTGAGAACGCTTGCGCTATTTTGTCCTGTGGGGTGGAGGAGAGCAGGGCGACAAGCACCATCAAAAGAATGATGCTCTCTACCCAAACGGCAGCGTGTGTGAACCAATGCCATAAGTTTATTCGCAGTGCGAGCTTTACATTCACGACGACCACCAAGAGGATGTAGATGCTGATGCTGATGAAATCAAAGCCATTGATTTGTCCGTCGGGCTGGGGATTGTCGAGAATTTTCACCAGCGCAAAGAAAATTATAAACGCGTGCCATGTTGCAGCAATCATCCAGCCTAGGAAGCTGCTGTAGAATATGGACGCAGCTTCGTTCTGGGTTTCCTTATACAGAGCAGGGTTGCTTTCAACCATGTGCGCCGGAACGTCTTGGTCAAATCCTGCCTGAAGCAGAGGTGGAAAGAAGGTCCAGAGGAGATCATATGTGCACATCAGCACCGTCGGGAAGAGTGGCTGGGCTGAGAATCCAGAGACACATGCAAGAAACAGGTTCCCCAGTGTGTAGACAACATTCTTGTACAGCACATAGAATATCAGTTCTCGATTGCGTTTATAGCTCCTGCACAAAAGCCATGGCGATCACCGGGCATCGCGAATGATACGCAAGGACATTGTGCAGCATGGCACAGATCATCACAGAGATTCAGCATTTTCAGAGCAAACCAGAACTAGCAATCGTCGAATAAAAGCAGCAAAGCAAAGCAAGACATCAAATTTCGAGGTATGTACACCAGTATGTACACCAGTCTGTATACTAGTGGAACGATCATCATGATCACAACTTGGTGTCCGTAGTTTCATTCAAGTACGTGTATTTATACTTACAAGAGAATATTTATCATTCATTCCTATCAAAATGATTTGACTGGTTCTTTTTTGGCTTTTGATCTTCCCCAAAAAAGATCAAAAGCCAAAAAAGAACCAGTCAAATTGTTGCTACAAGCCAGAGAGTGGTCTTGATGTTGGAGGGCATGAGGGTGGTGCTGCCACCATCCTGCCATCATCCCACACCACACTCCCTAGAACGTCCCTCCGCCCTCATGAGGGTGTTGCTGTTGCTGTTGCTGTTGCTGTTGCTGTTGCTGTTGCTGTTGCTGTTGCTGTTGCTGTTGCCGGTGCTGCATCAATGCCAACAGCAACAGCAAAAGCAACAGCAACAGCAACAGCAACAGCAACAGCAATACCGGCATTGGCAACAACAGCAACAGCCGCAGCACCGGCATCAAACCGTGACACTGGCAAGAGCAAGAATGATAACACCAACTAATACCAACATCAGCAGCAACAGCATCAACCATGATGACACCAAGAACATGGATGACAAGACCAACTGCAACAATGATGACGAAAAGAAGAAGAAGAAGAAGAAGAAGAAGAAGAAGAAGAGGAGGAGGAGGTTGATACAGCAAATGACATAACAAGCAGAACAGCGCAAACAGTAGGCATCCACATTGTTTCCTTTGATGTCCGATTGTGTCAGCTAGCTGGTTTTGACCTCCTCAGTGGTGCTGTACATGTTGATAAAGCATATCAGGAAATGTAATGGCACAGCCAATGCACAGGGAGGGGAACGGTATCCAGTTTTGGACTGATGCAGTCATACTTGGGCAATGGGAAATATGCTGGCTAAGATTGGGAGGTGGGGCGGGGGGTTGGGTTGGGGGCACAGGGGCAGCTTTGGGTTTGGCTCCACGCCTCCGTAGTTGGGCAAAGTGGCTTACTAGCCCGGGGCGAGGTTCCGCTTACACTCGTACTTCAATGGTGGCCACTGACCTTCATACTCTACATTTCGAAACAGAGAACCTGCGTGAGTGGAACATCGAACCTGGGCACTTTGTTTGAGCCCATGGGGTAGCTCTTGGGGCCAGTGAGATTCAGATCTGCACCCTCCCCATTCAGTTGGTGTATATTTCAAATTGTTTGCTGTTTCAGCCTTGCGAGTTTTGAGCCCAGAACCCGAACGTAGGATCTCTGTAGGCTTAGGCTAGAACAACACTTTGTAGACCGATTTCATCTTAGATTGTCCCATAACAGACCCAGCAGGCCTAGGCTAGGCTGTCAAATGTGACAAGCAGCCAACAGTTTAAATTCTGAATTCATTCATCAAGTTTGTCACTGTTTGTGTGTTGCTTTTACCGCTACCGTCTTCACCCGAATAGAACGCCCGGTCATTATCGCTGCATCTGGACCGTCAGTTGTGCCAAATACAGCTATAATGACCGGGCGTTTTATTTGGGTGAAGACGGTAGTGACATGCGAGATAGGGCGCAGCCATAGGCAGTAAGATCTTTGCGCTTCGCTAGATGGTTTCTCAAGCCAATTGTTGCATGTTGCTCAAGGAGAGAGCATATTTTTTTTATATAGAGCATCAGTGACTGAATCAAAACAAATTCTATTCTCTATCATTGATTATTCTATTCAAAAAAAAAAAAGGGGCAACGATGCTCAGTTGTACTGTTTGTACATAAGCTTTTCCTGTTTTTTTTTCATCGACTACTTTTTGCGAATGTTAAACGCCAATTCTGTGTGAAGTTTGCAATCAAGTGAGATCCTCTCTCTTTTTTTTTTTTTTTTTAATCTCAGAAAATGTTGAACTCCAATTTTGTGTGAAGTTTGCAATCAAGTGTGATCCTATCTCAGTCAAGTCAAGTGTGTACTTGTGATGATGAGTAGTCGTAGCGGTAGAAACATACAAACCAAGTGGTCATAGTAGGGATTAATGGTAGAAATCTGAAATACGTGCCAAATGGCTATATAGCAGGGATTGCTGAACATAGACCCATAAAGTGGACACACCATGAGGGCTTTCGAGCTTAGACCACACCATACATTCCAAGTGGTCATAGCGGTACAAAATGTAAAGCAGGGATTATTGAACATAGAGAGATATAGTGGACACTATGTCGGGCTCTTGATCTTAGACTATACAATCCATGCGCCAGACCATAAGGAGTTGCTCTTGATAAGCTCCGGGTGCTGATAGGAAATTTCCTGCTATTAAGGGTACAGCCGAGGGAGTCCATAGTAAGGAGGGGTATGGTAGATTCATTAGCCTACCGTCTTCACCCGAATAGAACGCCCCCCGGTCATTATAGCTGCATTTGGCCCAACTTTCAGTCCAGATGCAGCGATAATGACCGGGCGTTCTATTCGGTTGAAGACGGTAGGCTACAAGAGAGTATCCGTGTAGGAGGTGCTCGAAGCCTACCAACGCATATTAGGAGGACCTTACATGTGCGGGTACAGGGAGGAGTAGATGCCAGATGGGATAGGCAAGGCACCTACGATACCCGAGGGATGGGTGTTCAAGGGAGGATCTAACAATACATGATGACTGTGCTTCAAGGGTAGCCCTGAGGAAGTGCCAGATGGGGAGCGGAGGGTTAGATAGCCTAGAATAGACTACCTTAGGGGTACCTTATAGAACGCGTGCGAGGGAGAGTAAATCGTATCAAGTAGAAGTGCTATTGAGTTGCCTAGAGTCTGAATGATGGAACAGAGAAGGAGGGGGGGGGGGGGGGGGGGGGCGCATCCGTAGAGTCCAAAGTTCGCTTGATTCAAGCCACGCCCTGCAGACTGGTGGTCCATGGTATTCAGGGGTGTCCTGGTAGCGCCTGCAGGGGGTCACTTGCAATAGGCATAGGTAGGCACGGCTCGGGATAGGATCTATAGATTCTATACACAGACTTCGGGGTAGGCCTGGCACACAGCAATCCTTTTGAATAACCAAATGGCTGAACATGATGGGATCCTGAATGGTTATTTATGTCTTGACTACCATATGAGGACTCTAAGCAGATTGAAGGGCCCGGGTACAGCAAAGGTGGTCCATGGTGGTTGGTGGAAACTTTCCCAAAATAATACTAGGCTGCTCCCTGTGGAAAACCGTTGGGTATCATGGCAGGGCTCCCCGAGGGGGAAGGGGGGGGCCTGGGCAAGACGATTCATTCGGATAACCAAATGGCTGAGTTCCAAGGGGCCTTCCAAGTCCGAATCTGACCTCGACAGCGTCCTGGGAGTTTATTAAAACAAAAGTGTAGCATCCTATGGGCTCCTACATGGGCCTTTTTCAAGGGCTTCGGTGCGTGAGTTCAAGGTGGAGAAATTGGATCCCTTGACACTCGAGGATTTTACTTGGCTACCTCTCCCTACTACGGGCTGTTTACCAGGACCACATTGCGCAGCACTTAGAAGTTAGCACTCGTTTACACGAGTACTTATCCTTCTATGCACAACCTACTTCGCCAACAGATGACGAAGTCGCAGCGGCCGATTTCTTGAACACTTAGCGAAGGCCGGATGCGAGTTTCACATATAACGGTACGACAACAACAATGCACCACTCCTTTATGTCTGCATCCAAATACGGCAAGCGTCTTGGAGCGCTTTGCTGGATAGCGGCACGACTCTTATCTTTATTAGCGAGTCGTTCATCCAACGCGCTGGCCTTGGCACACAAGTTCAAAGAAACCTCCATTTCACAGAGGTCAAGCTTGCGGATGGTCGGACGCAACAACTCCTTGACCGATGTATTGAGAATGTGCTTGTCTACCTCGCCCCTTGTGCGCGCGCAAAGCCGTCACTTTTTTTTTTTTTTTTTTGCAAGGCCCTTATACAAGGCCTCTATCCTGGTGGTGGTAAGAGAACCACCGGGATTTTGAGGCTTTGCCTGTCGGGCCGCTCCGTCTATTGGTGGGGAGCCTCACCTGCTGGGAACCGGGCCCAGCGTCCAATGAATACATCTGTACAAAACAGTACAAAACAGTACATCCTTGAGAGAGACGCCCTTGGGCTGGAAACCGGGTCCAACGTCCCAAATCTAACTTTTACCCTTCACACCTAACCTGCAGCACCGTTGGGGACTCGCAAAGCCGTCACTTTTGATGTCTTGGACGCAAACTTCGACATGATCCCAGGATGCCTTGGCTTGCAAGTGCAAACCACACAGTCAACTTTCGTTGGTGAACGCTTACCGTGCACGATGCCTTCGGCGCCGAAGTCCCGTGCACCATTCCTCCTCCACATATTCGATCCGGTGCCAAAATTGTTTTGACAAAGAGTTTCCAAGCGACTTGCACTTACAAGCGGACCGAGTAAATCGGTCGTTGTTTCCTTCACATCGTAGTGGCAACCAACTCTTCACCAACGGATGCATCTTCGAATCCTCACGTGCTTCGATTACTTGACAAGTTCGGAGATGTTTTTGAGCCTCCGATGGGTGCAGTTCCTGACTGCCCCGTCTCTCACGAAATCATTCTCGCGGACGACATCCTCTCACCCAAGGGTTGCATCTATCGCATGAGCGAGATGGACCTCATGCGTTTTATGCGTGCAACTCGACGACTTAGGTAAGCTGAGTTGGTGGTATTCCACTTGGGCCACTCACAGACCACACGCCGGCCAGGTATGGCCTCATGGCTCCCACCTATTCCGACACTGGAGAGGTCACCTTCCTGGTACTATTCCAGCTCAATCAGCTAGTGGTTGCCCAGACGCGCGACTGTAGGACTGCCACCCTACCCATCCTCCCATCGATTCTCCAAACACACCCCTATACCCACTATCCTACCTCAGTGGTACAAGCACTCAGGACAATCACCTCACCCATGCACTACCTTGATGGTGCCTGAATTGTAAAACCCATTAACCGAAAACGGAAAACAGTACAAAGGGTGTCATATTTCCCATGTTTTCTATTCGAGGGAAGGCCAGACCTGTGATGGTCATAAAGTCCTCATTGGCTCGCAGGCATTCACTTTAGAGTTGAGGTATCCCTTTGAATAAGGAAAACGCCGAAACGGCATGCAGGTTGAATGAGCAAAACAAAAAGAGTAGCAATGACATGAAAAAGTTCAAAAAGGATCATTTTGACTGGGCTTCCTGACGTACCATCATCCGTGCACAAGGAGGAGTCAAGTCAAGTGAGTCTTTTTTTTTCTCTTTTTCCCCTTCTCCATTTTTTCTTCCTTTTTTCAGACCATTTCTCGATTTATGTGTGTCATCATACAACGTGCGCCGCCGTACGGTCATAATAGCTGTATTTGAGGTATCTTTCAGTCTAAATACACTTTGATACAGCAATAGTGACCGTATGTTGTATTCTGGTGAAAGAAGGTTTCAACTTTCCGACATACCTTTGTCCGTGCTCAAGGAGGACCTGCACGAGGTTGCAAAACTGAGCAAGTGAAAAATTGCTGGAGCTGACGGCTGCATTACTTTTGTGACTACGGAAACGGTGTGAAAAAGAATAACTGATTGAATAAGTAGAATACAAAAATGGTCAACTAAGGTCTTGAGAACGGAAAACAAACAAACAAACAAACAAACAAACAAACAAACAAACAAACAAAGAGAATGGAACATCTGTCTGCGCTTTTTCCAACATACCATCGTCCATGCACGAGGAGGAGCCGAGTGAGGTGGCAAAACTGAGCGAGCGAAAAATCGCTGGCGAGGACCGCGGTATTGCCTTTGTATCCAGTGATTCCAACTCCTATGTTGGCTGCACGGATCATAGCCACATCGCTTGCGCCATCCCCAACTGCAAGAGAAACTGCCTTCGCATGTTCCCTCACCAGAGTCACGACCTGCAAATGAAAATACATGAAATCATTTGTATGAAATGGGAATGTAACTTTATGTAAGTCTAACCGAATGGACTAAAAAAAAAAAAAAAAAAAAAAAAAAAAAAAAAAAAAAAAAAAAAAAAAAAAAAAAAAAAAAAAGAATGGACTAACACTGAAATTTGAAGGGCAGGCAACCAGAAAGGTTTAGAAAACTGACCGGATGGGCCGATGGGAGGATTAAAAAAACACAAATTCTGTTTTCCTCAAGTCCACACCGGGTACAATTGTGAGGTCCCTGGCCTCCAGTGGGATTTTGAAATAACTCTTTTTAAAAGACGAAAGGAAAAAGAAGAATAGCATATTGCAGGTGGTGAAGTATCAAAGGTGCAAGAAATAAAGTCATGAGATAAGAAGATGGAGGAATAGTAGTGATGGGCCTGCTGGGATGAATATGGCACCTGATATTTCTGCATTGGTGTTGCACGGCAACAAATGACTGTCCTGCAGTGCATGCAAAGCTCCAGGAACACAAGCTTGTTTCTATCCTCTAGGGCAACATCCAGCGATGCACCTTCAATGATGATGGCCATCTCCTTCTTCTTTGATGCTTCATCTGGTCAGGGAGTGCAAGACATGCGGGACCTATTCAACAATAAATAACATAATCTCTGTAAAAATCAAATATTCACGTACAAACCAACAGCATAACCTGAGAAAAGAAAATAAAGATAAAATGATAAAAACTTAAAAAACACATAAAGAGTTATATTTTTCTTGCGGAAACGTGGTACAATTTTGGAAAAAAATAAATGCGTCGGTGGATCTCAGCAGAAGCTAGTTCACCTCAAGGCGTGCAATGGGTAGACACATGACAACCCCGAATGGATTTATAGGAACAAGACTAGGCATCAAAGCAAAGGGTGCCATTCAGACTTTGTCGCTGAGGTACGTTGATTGGGACAATTGCATTGAGCAATACTAACCACTACGTCGGGAACCCGGTTTCCAGCAGGTGGGCCACTACGTCAGGGGTGTCTGCAATTGAGTGATGCTCACTAAACACTACGTCGGAGTCTTCAACTGCACTGCCCATTTTTCGTGGTAGCAAAAACAACCACCACGTCATTCGTTGATTGGTGTTGTTGCCGGTGGAACACTTTGACTGATCCCCTTCAGTCGTCAATCCATCATCTCCTGGACCTGCGTTACTTACGGCTTTGGTGTTACTTTCTCTCGGCTTTTCCTGTCCCCTTCCTTCGTTTGCATGGCATCCACGATCTTCTATCGTGTGCCTATCAGGTTTCCGGATAACGAAGTGTTCTTCATCTGCTGCTGTTTCGGTGGATGCTTGTGCTGTTTTGTTAGGGAGTTGTCTCGACTTCCCGTTATGTACTCTGGGTGTGTTGTTCGTGTAGCTATCGTCTCTGTGACCACTTTGTGATTTCGCGCTGCCCGATGGTGGTCAGTACCAGCAGTACGAATGGGTCTGCTACAGTTGCGGGCACCCCGAGCATTAGATCAGTAATATTGTCCCTTCCCTCGGCAGAATGACGGTCTCATCTCTGGGACTCCGATTGGAGGATATGGTGCCGGCCCTGATTCCTTCCCTCCGCCACAGTACGCGCCTTCGGCACCTTCCCCCTTACTGAAGCGCCTCCCCAGCAGCCAATTCTTAACCCCCCTACGTTCTCACCTCCGCAACCTGCCTCTTCTGCTATCGTCCCAGGGGCTTGCCAATATGGCACAGATACTTGTACTTTTTTGAATATTTCAGAGCCTGTGTTTTCGCACGTTCATATCGCCATGGCTTTTCTCTATTTCTTCTCCTTCTCCTGTCCACCTATCCATTCCTTCACTTCTCGTTCACATGTTCGATTCTTCGCCTTCCTTGATCCCATTTGCCTTATGGCCTTCACATCTGATTGCACTACCCATCTTTCTTGAGTCTGGGTCTCCTTTTCAAATCAGGCCTTGAGTCTGGGGGTTCCCTTTCAGGTTAGGCCGCTACCGGCACATTGTGCTATAGGGCCGCTTGTTGGATCGCTATAGGAACTGGTCATTCGAGAAGTGTATACCTGTTGGTGATATCCTATTCATCCCCTTCCCTGCCAGGTTTGACGCCTGAAGATGCCAGACCGGCGGTCGACCGGTCAGGTCTTTCACCAGACTTTGTGTGCTTTTTCAATGGTGATTTTACAGTGCCACCTGCACTCGGATGTGCCGATTCTCGTTTTTTATGTCGCATATTTGATCTCACAGTGTGTTGATGAACTTGATGTGCAATATAGTGCATGTTTCTGAATTTGACTTGATTTGACACCCTGACAGGCAGCCCCCAACCTATCAAATCGAAGTAACAACATTCGATGATTCTATATTTCAAGTTTCAACAAATGAGAAAGGAGCAGCGGTACACCCTTCACCGAAAAGTAAGTAATCAATGCCACGCTCCTCAAGGTCCTTTAGTCATAATGGAAGGAAGCGTTGTGTGCAGTCATTGATGTAAGAGGTGCTGGACCACTGGCAGGTTTCCAGCACATATAATAAAGTGTTTTTTGTTTGCTTTTTTTTTCCCCTTTTTAAACCACTAGTATTTTTGTCGGTTTGAAAATACTGGGCCTCCGACCTTTCAGGAGGCTGAAACGTCGCTTAAGCGGCGGCGATGGCCGAAGGCGGCTACTAAATCAAATTCTAACCAGATAGGGACGAAGTTACCCGAAAGGACTTCAATAACCACAAAGGTCGGCTGACTGACTACGCATAACAGAAGCTGATCGAATCAACTTCAAAGCATACCGAACAAAGGACAATTCAAAGAAGATCAAGTTGCCTTGGAAGAAGGTGGACGATCTGAGGGGTTCGTCTGTAACGACAATGACAGTTTTCCCCAAATCAAGGAAAGGAAAAGGGGGAGAAGAGTAAAGGAAAAATCCCACGGTCAAAGGGTGCAGACGATTCAGCGACGACATCAGAGAGCTGGTCCATTCAGACGATCAAGACCCGAAGAGGGAGACGGACCAGAAAAGCTTTTGGGGAAAAAAACACATATCTGGATCGGATCGTTCCCCGAGGGCTGAAAGGTAAGAAGGGGGTGGGGGGAGCTCTACCTTGCAGGGGCATCACAAGGTGAGGGGTGAGTGTCTTAAAGAGGGTAGGGGCGGAGTAGGGGGTTGCCCTATTCTGGGGCAGGGGCTGGTGTGTGGGTCAACGTCAGTCCCAGCCGAGGCAGAAATGGGCAAGGGGCGGGGGGCCATGCTTTAGGTGGGAACTGCGTGCTCCTGGGGAAGAAGGGTAGAGGGTTGGTCCTATATTGGCGCCGAGGGAGGGTGGGTGACTCACCTCGGCTTTGGCAGTGTAGGACTGAGGGGGGAGGGGTAGGGGGAGGGAGGAACGATCTCTCTCGAAGAATTCTAACATCCAGTTTAGTATTTCTTTCCATTTCTTTCTATTTGGTTTGCCTCTCGAGGAGGTTGTAGGAACAGGGCTATCTGGCAATTCATCTGTGATCCTGCGAAGGGTGGTCGAAAATTCGGTGGCCCTTGAAGACCGATGCTGGCGCAACGCTGGCTGGAGCCGGAGCCAGGTGGCGCAACTCTGTGACCTAGCTTAGTGGGGGCGTGAGCCCTGGTAAGGAGATCTGGGGGGCTGTTCGCAATGCTGGCCAGCGCTGGAGCAAGGTGGTGCAACTCTGTAACCTAACCTGATGGGAGCATGAGGCCTGGAAGAGCTTCGGTTCGTGCTGAAAATGGCCATGCTGGAGGATGTCATAGGTGGATTGAATAGGTTTCACCTATCTGATTCGTGGTTGGGAGGCTTTTTGACACACATATTCTAGTGACTTGGTAGAGTTTTGAGTAGTTGCCATGAATGTTTCTGAGTTGTTCCTTTATCCATGGTTTGTTGGTTTTGGTTGCCAATGAGGGTCTTAAGAATGATTTAAGATTCTGGAGACTTCTAGCAACTCATCTTAGACGACTCCATTGCTGATATACTCAGTGATCTGTGGCTGTTCGATGCCAGAACGACGCTGGCCGGTGCTGGGGTGTTGCCCTGTAACCTGCTGATGCAGGAGTGTGAGGCCTGGTAGAGAGATCTGGGGAAGCTTTGGGGTGGGCATCCCAAGGGACACCCAAGGGTTGAGGCGGGGACGACGCTGGCCGGAGCTGGGGCGAGTTGTGTTGCCCTGTAACCCAGCAGGGTGGGGGTGTGAGGCCTGGAAGAGCTCGGCAGGGAGTAAGACAGTGCTGGAGAGCTTTAGAAGGGTTGCTAGGGATTCACAGGGTTTTGAGCATATGTGGGACCTCTGTGGTGGCATGTTTTGTTG